CTGCCTAAGTATGATTGTGTCGTCTTTTCCTCCTTCATCTTTGCCCTTGTACGAGAGAGGCCAGTCATGTCCTGCCCTCTCCCACATCTCCTTCCCAGGAAACTGCTGCTACCTTTTCTGGGAATCTGTGCCTCTGCTCAACCCCTGCTGAGTGAATGAATGAATCCCTGAAGCTGCTAAAACAGCCAAAAGCCCCTCATTGATCATTTTGGAAGATACCAAGATGCTAATTCATTATTCTGAAAACAAAGGGGCGAAAGTTAAGCATTTATCCTTCTTTCCTTATTTAAACCATAACTTAGACTAATCAAATAATTGAGGAGAGAAAGTCTGTCTGCATAGAAGCCGACCCACGAAAAAGGGACGTTAAAATTAAAATATCACCATTTTGCAAACTCGAATGAATTAATTGATTTAGGAAACAATTATCAGTGGCTGTCAGTATCATAAAAAGAGAAACAAGAAGACAATATGTGTCTCCTATTGAAGTTATGGCGCCACCTATGAAATCTTGCAAAAAAAAAAATTGAACCTGAATCCGATTAAAGTCTATAAACTAATGAAAACTTATAGGAAATACAGGGGACAGAGGAACATGTCAGAACACTGCTAAGGAAATACAGTCACCATAATCCAAACTGTGGAAAACTTTGTGAGACCAATGACCCAGTTTTTCCAATTAATTGCACAGGAAAAAATGAGGTAGAGGAAGGGGAACCCTGTAGATTTAACAAGACCCAAGAGTCATATTAATCAATCATAGTATGTGGCCTGTTTGGCTCCTGATTCAACAAATCTTAAAAAATACATACAGGACACGGCCAGGCGCCGTGGCTGACGCCTATAATCCCAGCACTTTGGGAGGCCGAGGCAGGTGGATCACGACGTCAAGAGATCGAGAACATCCTGGTCAACATGGTGAAACCCCGTCTCTACTAAAAATACAAAAATAAGCTGGGTGTGGTGGCGCACACCTGTAGTCTCAGCTACTCGGGAGGCTGAGGCAGGAGAATTGCTTGAACCCAGGAGGTAGAGGTTGCAGTGAGCCGAGATCGTGCCACTGCACTCCAGCCTGGGTAACAAGAGCGAAACCCCGTCTCAAAAAAAAAAAAAAAAAAAAAAAAATATATATATATATATATATATATATATATGACAAATGGGGGAAATGTAAACAATGCCTGGATATTTAACAATATTAAGAAAATACTGGCGAGGCATGGTGGCTTGCTTCAGTAATCCTAGCACTTTGGGAGGCCAAGGCAGGAAGATTGCTTGAGCCCAGGAGTTTGAGACCAGCCTGGGCAACATACTGAGACCTCCTCTCTACAAAAACGAGCTGGGTGTGATGGCTTGTGTCTGTAGTCTCAGCTACTCTGGAGGCTGATGGGGGAGGATCGCTTTTAGCCCGGGAGTCGAGGCCGTAGTGAGTTACCATTGCACCACTGCACTTCAGTCTGGGCAACAGAGTGAGACCCTATCTAAAAAAGAAAGAAAGAAAAGAAAAAAAAAAGGCCAGTGCTTACTCCGGTAATTCCAGCACTTCAGGGGGCTGAAGTGATTGTATCACTTGAGGTCAGGAGTTTAAGACCAGCCTGGCCAACATGGCGAAACCCTGTCTCTACTAATAACACACACAAAAAATTAGCCAGGCATGGCAGTGCATGCCTGTAATTCCAGCTACTGGAGGAGGCTGAGGCACAAGAATTGCGTGAACTGGGAGGCGGAGATTGCAGTGAGCCGAGATCGCACCACTGTACTCCAGCCTGGGTGACAGTGAAACTGTGTCTCAAAAGAAAAGAAATGAAAAAAAAAATATTGTTGACATGGGGGTGATGGTAGTTTTGTGATTATTTCTTTAAAAGGAATCCTCCTTCTCTTTATCCTTAGAAATACATATTGAAATACGCATGAATTACATAATGAATGGCATCTAGGATTTACTCCAGAACAGCCGTGAGGGCTGGAGACAGGCAGGACTAGAGAAGACTACCCGTGAGCTGATCATGTTGAAGTTGGTGGTGCGTAACTCGAGGTCCATGATACAGTTCTTTACAATTGCATATATTTGAAATTTTCCTTCCTAAAAAGTTGAAAAAAAAACCCCATTTTTCATAATCTTCATTTGTTTTTTGTATATGTTTCACATTGGTCATAATAATGTTTTTTATAAATACAGATTTGTGAATTTTTACTTGTTCTTCACTACTAGAAATGTGTAAAATGTTTGGAGTTTTGTATTTTTTTAATACAAAACTTGCCTGCCCGCAGAGACAGGAAGGTCCGTGAAAGTAATGACCTTCCTATTACATCCTCCACAGGGCTGATACCTTGTGAAGCATATAAAATATATAAAATACTCATGTGGGGCTGGGCACGGTGGCTCACGCCTATAATCTCAGCACTCTTGGAGGCCGAGGTGGGTGGATTACCTGAGGTCAGGAGTTTGAGACCAGCCTGGTCAACATAGTGAAACCCTGCCTCTACTAAAAATATAAAAATGAGCTGGGCGTGGCAGCAGGCACCTGTAAATCTCAGCTACTTGGGAGGTTGAGGCAGGAGAACTGCATGAACCCAGGAGGCAGAGTTTGCAGTGAGCTGAGATCATACCACTGCTCTCCAGCCTGGGCAACAAGAGCAAAACTGAAAAGAAAAAAAAAAAAAAAAAAAACCCAAAACTTATTTGGGAATCCAACTTGTTAAAACACCATTCTGGAAAGAAGGATTGCTCACCTGGCTTCCCCTTTATGGATACCTCAATCTTGACTTTATTGTTAGTTTAGACATTCTATGTGATCAGTCTTAGTACCCAGAAGACTTTATTAACTTGAGGTTTTATAAAGAGAACATAACAAGATTGAGACTGATTAAATCCATGTTATGGAATTTTATAAGACTTAGTATAAAATGGATATGAAATCCCAAATACTACAGAGGACAGTTCTGTTTCACGCTCAGACCCTCCTTACTAAGGAATACTAAGGGAATGTGAGGCCCTTAGTAAGGGGTGGTTACAAAACATCTTTCCATTTCTCCTTGGTGTTGGTTCTGAGCCTCTGTCCCTTGTTTTAATTGCGCCGCAAACATCTGGCGTGGATATGGTTGGTGGCTTCTTCCTTGGAGACCCTTCTGCTTTTAGAGAGCTCTCTATCTCTGTTAATTCTGGTTGCTCTCAGTTCAGACTTTCCCAGGATTTCCTTAAGTTTCTTTAACTGGAGCACTTTCTTTTGTGAATTACATGTTACTTAATTGTCACCCTGGGAGCCGCCTTCTCTTTTGCCTTGTCTGACAGCCCTTGGTCTTGGTCTCTCTAGTTGATCCGCCCCTTCAAGCTGAGCTTCAGGATTGGGAGAGCAGGCTTTATCCTGCCCGGATTTCTTGCAGAAGAAGCAGTTTGCTGTAGAATGCAGCTTACAAAAGGGTTGCTTCTTTAAGAAACCTCCCTAATAACTTGTTCAAAATAACTCAGAACCTGGGTCTGTCTCTTTGTCTGCGTATCTTCTGCTGGGTTCCCCGTCTCACAGAAGACGTCTAGATGGTGCTGTAGCACTGGCTGATAGAAAAGTATCTGCTATTTTCCAATGCAGTTTTTAAGAGGAAATACTATATTCAGCCATCCAAATATGTTGGAATGTGCTCAGAGTCAACAGAATATGCCCTTTTAATTTATAAAAAGTAATTATTATGGGCTGGGCGTGGTGGCTCATGCCTGTAATCCCAGCACTTTGGGAGGCTGAGGCGGGTGGATCACGAGGTCAAGAAATCGAGACCATCCTGGCCAACATGGTAAAACCCCGTCTCTACTAAAAATACAAAAAAAGTAGCTGGGCGTGGTGGCAAGCACGCCTGTAGTCCCAGCTACTCGGGAGACTGAGGCAGGAGAATTGCTTGTACCCAAGGGGGCAGAGGTTGCAGTGAGCCAAAATTGCTCCACGGCACTCCAGCCTAGGAGAGAGACCAAGGCTCTGTCTCTCAAATAATAATAATAATAGTGATTATTATTATTATTATTATGGGCCAGGCACAGTGGCTAATGCCTGTAATCCCAGCACTTTGAGAGGCTGAGGTAGGTGGATCACTTGACCTCAGGAGTTTGAGACCAGCCTGGGCAACATAGCGAAACCCCCAACTCTACCAAAACTATAAAAAATTAGCTGGGTGTGAGTGTACGTGCCTGTAGTCCCAGCTGAGGCTGAGGTATAGGGTCGCTTGAGCCTAGGAAGTCAAGGCTACAGTGAGCCAAGACTGCACCACTGTGCTCCAGCCTGGGTGACGGAGTGAGACCCTGTCTATAAATAAATAAATTCATAATAATGGAAGCCAACACTTATGTGGTACTTACGAAGTGTCAGGTAAGACATTATGCTAAGTGTCTTACAGGCATGACCTCACGTCGTTGGTTCTATTATCCCCATTTTCAGGTGGGGAAACTGAGGATGGGAGTGTGTAAGCAGCTCACTCCAGGCCACAGAGCTAGAGTGAGGCTGTGACTCAGTGGGGCCCAGCTCCAGGGTCCATTCTTTCTCGCCGAGAGACCCGGCTGAGAGGAGAAGAGAAAAGCCTGGACGATAAGACAGAATTACCAGAAGGGAAAGGGAAGTGGGAGAAAAAATAGATGGGAAACATTTGAGATTTTTGAGACAAACCTGATTTTGAAGGCTTTCAAAGCTGCCGTATAAAGTGACACTGTTTTGGGGCGGGGGGCACAGCAGTTCAGTGGGAAGAGCTGTGGACATCAGAGAGCCTGGGCACTTACCTGGCTTTTCTACCATCTCTGTGACACAGAAAAGTCATTTCGTCACTCTGGCCTTGTTTCCTCATCTAAAAAGAAATTACGCCTATTATTACCCTTCCATAGGGTAATTGTAATAATCTATTCAGCATTACTTTGAAGAAAAGTGCTAGATGGAAGAAAGTTCTAAGGACTCCCATTTTTAGATGCGCTTGGGAGGACTTTGGTTTGGCATCTGAAGGTAATAAGTTCCTATTTTTGTTTTCAGGGCACTATATTTGTATGTGTCTTGTAGAACCCACGCTTGGAAATGCTGACAGCAGGCTTCAGGACAGCTGAGCCCCAATAAACACCAAGAAAACCCACGGCTCTGGCTGCATCTTCCAACATGACCAATCCACAGTAAGTAATGCTGGGATCTGCTCTCTGGATCCAGAACTGTGGCTATAAATCTCCCAGAAGATGAAGATCTTCTAATTTAGGCAACGACTATGTACATTTCCTTTAGCGGGAGGCCACAGAAAAATGGAGAAACCTTTCAAAAGCAAGACTTAAGAGTAGGAAGCACTGAAGGTGAATTAACAAAATGGGAATTGCAAAGAAATTCAGAAATCATGAGAGGGTTTCCGAAAGCAGGAGCAGGATTCTGAAGGGAAAATTGCTTTCACTTCCCAAAACCCGAGATGCCACATGAACCAACCATTTAATCTTGCCAGGCACCTGCAAGGTGGTCACTTATTTTGTGTCTTGCAACTGCTTGGCATGACTACTGGGATGAAAACAGCATTCCTTCTATTATACCACACTGTCGTGGCCTATCTAGATACAGGCCTGACTGCTCGGTCATCTGGAGTATGAATCTGTGATGCTGTGTAATAACCAACCGTAGAACCTCAGTTAGAACACAACGATAAATGTGTCTTGCTCAGGTGTCTGGGGTGCTCAGCTAGACAGCTCCTCTGATCTTGGCTGGGATGACTTTCGAATGTGGGTCATAGCTGGCTGTCAGCTGATCGAGAGGAGGCTGGACTCTGCTCTGCATCTGTCATCCTCCAGTACTAGGCCGGTCACCCTCTAATGGTGACATTGGAGGTACAAGAGCACAGGCAGAAACTCACAGAGCCTTTTCATGCCTCTGCTGGTGTCTGACCTGGCTCTTCTACCATCTACCATCCCGCCGGCAAAAAAGAGTCACATGGCTGACTGCTGAATCAAGGGTAAGGAAAATACACTCTTCCTTTTGATGGAAGGAGCTGGGAAGTCATATGGCAAAGCGCAGGGACTCCGGGAGAGGTCAAGAATGGAAGCATGAATACATTTTGCCTACCGCATGGTTCTTTGTGTCCAGGGAAAGAGTGTAGACTAACTGTAGCCTGTACACTGTGGGACCTTCACTTCACCAGAGGAGGCCTTGTCTCTCTGCTGAGACCACCACCACATGGCCAGACATGGTGCTGGGCCACTGTGAGCCCTGGTGGAGGGGCAATGGAGGGCAGCAACATTGGAAAGTTAGTAATAGCTTGTTTGTGCTTCTCAGAATCATATCCTATTACTTTCCTTCCAGGAGCACCTTCTGATCAAAAAGTTCCATTTGTTTAGTTCAGAGATCCATAGTTTCCTTGAGTAGTCCAGAAGGAAAGGGAACAAATTCAACCCAGCGTCTGCTTCTTGGTAAACATCTGGGGGAGCTGGGATTCCCCCTGTAACACCCACACTTTTCTATCAATTGTTGAGAAACATCGAAACCTCATATCCTATGACTGTTTCATTTAAAGATCTTGAGTCATTTTGTAAATGTCACGAATGATGAGTACTATCATCTGTGCTTGACAAGCAGCACAAAGCAAAGGTTTAAATAAGGCCTACAAAGGAGAATCGGGCATTAGAAATTACTTGGTGAATTCAGGTGGTCTAGGCAGCCAGTCTGTGACATTCAAATAAAAAGCTCACTTTACCCTTAATTATCTCAGTTTTCCCTAAGAAGTCCCTGGGTTGGGCTGGGTGCAGTGACTCTTGCCTGTAATCCCAAGCAAAATAAAAGTCAGTAGATAAATCTCTGAACTTCCTGGATAACGTGTGAGTGTGTGTGTGTGTGTGTGTCTGTGTGTGTGTGTGTGTGATTTTGTTTGTTTGTTTTTGAGACAGGGTTTCACTCTTGTTACCCAGGCTGGAGTGCAATGGTGCGATCTCAGCTCGCTGCAACCTCCACCTCCTGGGTTCAAGCAATTCACCTGCCTCGGCCTCCCAAGTAGCTGGGATTGCAGGCATGTGCCACCACATCCAGCTAATTTTGTGTGTTTTTAGTAGAGATGGCTTCACCAGGCTGGTCAAGCTGGTCTCGAATCCCTAACCTCAGGTGATCCACCTGCCTTGGTCTTCCAAAGTGCTGAGATTACAGGTGTGAGCCACCGCGCCCAGCCTGCAGCTGTGTATTATTGGTTAGATTTCAGTGGTTGTTGGGTAAGTTTCTAATTCAGAGCTCCCACACAAGTGTAGGGACTTGTCGCTCTGTGGCTCCTCCAATCGTCTCTATACGTCTGTTCTCCACGTCAGATCATAGAGTGAGAAGGAGCAGCCTGTAGGAATATTCTGTTTTACCTCCTCGTGTTCTGATTGGAGAAGCTGAGGTTCAGGAGAAGTTGGCATTCACGCCAGCACCAGAGCCCAGGAATAGTTTACAGCAGCCAGGGCTGCCATCTCAGTATTCAAACTGGGCCCTCGTTACCCTGGGCACTGGCCCCCAGTGTTCCCTCCAACATCTACATTTTACTCCTGGCCGTAATACCGTTATCCCTTTCTAACTCGCACTGTCTGGATAGAGGCATAAGACTCAGCCCCTCAGACGCTACATGAGACAGGGTCAAGGACATTGGACAGACCGAAGATGGTGCCCCAGGAACGTAAGGGAAAGCTTCTAGTCCAGCATCTCTGGACAGGGTTGCTGTGGTGTTCAGGCAGGACAGTCCTTAGTCGGTGAGACACATTGCAGGATATGTAGCGTCCCCAGCCCTACTTAAGTGTCAATAGCGACCCCCCGTGGTCATGGTGGCAACCAAAATGCCTCCACAAATTGCCAGATACCCCTGGTAGTAGATTGGGAGGTGGTACTGCCCTGGCTGAGATGCCCGGGAGTCCCACTGGAGCGGTCAGTTATTGGCAGTGCCCAAGGTGAGCCTGACAGTCACACAGGAAGAGACCCACCACTCCTCAGACATTGGATCAAGTGACTCCCATTCCCTATTCCCAACCTTAGGAAGAGACCTATGTTTGGACCAGTTCAAATAGGAAGGGGGTGGCTGCCAGGGATAGCTGGAGCCTCCTGTCCTCGCCACCCCAAGGCCCACTAGGTCTCTGCAAGTCTCCAATCATTGCAGTACCTCCAGTTGTGAACAGAAACCTCTTTTCTCTATTATGGAACAGAGAATAGAAACATTTCAAAACACCTTTACAAAGAAACTCAAGAGACAACTTAAAAGAATGTCTGACTCCCATATAAAGTCCAGTGACCCAGAATCCTAAAAGTGTAAGCCATAGTTTTGCTGGTTGGCAGAGTTCTCCGTCTGGATCTTTGCCTCCCCTGAATGAAGGACCCCGCCACACTAAAGCTCATATGTTCAGGTCTGAGCACCTCCTCTTCCCATTCTCCCACTTTCCCCAACCATTGAGAGAGACGGAATTGTTAAGGCTCCAGTCCAGTCCGCGGGTGGCCAGCGGGGAAGAGGGGCAACCCTAAGCTGCCTCAGCCCTTTACCGGCACAGTAGCATTCTCCCTCCTTTCCTTGAGGAGTGGAAGAATTTTTTGGTCCTTGAAGATAACTCTTTCCTATTGTTCCTCCTCGACAACCCAGGCCTGCCATAGAAGGAGGAATTTCTGAAGTTGAGATAATCTCCCAACAAGTAGACGAAGAAACCAAGAGCATTGCTCCCGTGCAGCTGGTGAACTTTGCCTATCGGGACTTGCCCCTGGCTGCTGTTGATCTTTCCACGGCGGGCTCGCAGCTCCTGTCAAATCTGGACGAAGATTACCAAAGAGAAGGGTAGGTGCTGGGACCATTGAGCTAGCTAAGAAGTCCCTGGGTTGGGCCGGGTGCGGTAGCTCACACCTGTAATCCCAGCACTTTGGGAGGCTGAGGCGGGTGGATCACCTGAGGTCAGGAGTTCGAGACCAGCCTGGCCCACATGGTGAAACCCCGCCTCTACTAAAAATACAAAAATTAGCCTGGCATGGTGGCGCAGGCCTGTAATCCAGCTATTCAGGAGGCTGCGGCAGGAGAATCGCTTGAATCGGGGAGGCGGGGGTTGCAGTGAGCCGAGATCACACCATTGCACTTCAGCCTGGGTGACAAGAGTGAAACTCCGTCTCAGAAAAATTAAAAAAGGAAGAAGTCCCTGGTTTTCATGGGTATCTTCCAAGACTGCAGGAAGCCGCAGCCAAAATGAGCAATGCTAACTAGTGAGACAGCAGAGGCTCACAGCGGACCACTCAGGCCCTTTGCCTACGCAGACATTACTTCCTCAGAAAAACGCGCTGGGCACAGAAAATTCTTGCTAGATGACCTCTTAGGTGACATCTGCTTGGAACTCAGAGAATCATAAAGTTTATTTCAGGACTGAAGCTCTCCTTAACGCCCCAGCCAATCCCCTCTCCCGACACTTGGGAGGGAGACCCATGGTGATTAGAGGCTTGCCCAAGGTCACAGAGCCCATAAGGATGGACTCAAGCTACACTTTCCCGTGATGAAGTGGACTCTCACAGGAAGAGTCCGGGAAGAAGGACCCCCGCATACCGGAACATGCTTACGATGTAAGGGAATTTAGAGAATTCTGCTAGGAGCTCTGCAGATAGTAGGTCCTGCCCTTTCCGGGGAAGGCATGCAGAATATGCGGGGCCCAATTCAAAAAGGTGGCCCTTCCCTCCTCCTGCTGTACATATCCATCAGTTGGGATGGCTTTGTTCCCCAATTCACTTCTCATTAGCCTGGTCTGTCTTACAAACATACTTTCTGAAGGTGAGTAGTCAAGGGCAAGAGCCAGGTGGGGCAGAGGGGACACACCGGTTTGATGTCTTCGTTTTCACGGGGCTTGGTGGTGTAGCTGAAGGCCAAAGAGGGCTAGGAACAGGTGCTAGGGTCACACAGCAGATCAGACTTCCGACTCTGCCCAGGGCTTTCCCTGGCCCCACCCTGTGGCTCTTAGACACAGAATCGTAAATATTGGCAGGACCTTAGGAGCCAGTTCTGGACAGCTTTTCTTTCCTGGGTGCCTGTAAACACGTTGGAACATGCTGGCTGCTTTGAATATAAAAATGAACGTTGCCAGGTATTTTAGAAGCAAACGAGGAGCCTTCGCTAAAGCTAAATTTGCAGGGCTTGGATTCCCTGGACTTGTTTCTGGAAGGAGCTCCCCGCCTTCCTGAGATAAACCGCCTCACAGTGGTGAAACTACACCCCAGTGGCTTTCTCCGAACACATAATTTTTCCAAGCATTGCGCACATTGTCAGCAGGACATTGGGAAAAAGGGGATAGGCAAGCAGGTCGGCGGCAGCTAAGGGTCATCTGCAGTGGCAGCGCCGTCCTGAGCTGTCAGGGCAGGGGTGGCTTCTCCCAGGTCCTTACCTGCTGGAAGGCCGGGCTAAAACCTGAGTCCCCTGGGCCAGGGCCAGCTTCGTGCACATGTGACCTGTGCAGGAGGACGGAGCCCGGCGCTTCGACGCGCCCCAGCACTTGGCTACATGCCCTGCCGATGCTGCTTTGAAATGCTTAAGGAGCCCCACATTTTCACTGGGCTCTGCAAAGGATGCAGCCTGTGGGTCCTTCTCTGAGCGCCGCGAGCCACTGCGTCACTGCTCTCTGGTGGTCAAGAGCAGTAGGGCAGCCTTCTCACGTGCCCTGGCTGCGCCGGAGAGTTCATTGCCTGCCCTGGCCTGAGCCTGTTAGGCCCTTCTCACCCGGGGAGCAGGACGGTATGGAGAGAAGTGGGACAGCCTCCAGGGATTCTGGTTCAGAGCAAAGCAGCGTCCGCGCGTGCCCCCTGTGGGCATTATGGCACCCGCAGCTGGACCCTGCTCTGGGTGTTCCTCACCAGGGGTCCCGCGCTGTGGTGTACCCCCTTTCAGGTGTCCCCCGTGTATCACTCCCTAGCCTGAAGCCCAAGGCTGGCCTTATCATTCAATTTGCCTCTAAATTGGGCCTTTGCAAGGTTTCTTCCCAAATGATGCGCCTGCAGGGCAGAGGGGCCCTTGATTGGATTTGAATCTCCAGGTGTGCCCAGGAAAGCCGTTCCCGTTGGGTAAATAGGAAGCAGCCCGGGGAAGGGATTTGCCTCGCTGCTGGAGCTGCGAGCTGGGGGCCCCGATTGGCAGCCAGAGGTCTTCCCGGAGGAAGGAAGCGCGGGCTCAGGACCGGAGCCAGGGCACACTGAAGCGAAGCAAAAACACGCAGCGAGGGAGGAACGGCCTCTGCCCGCGAGGCGTCTTGGCTCTCGCTGCATTTCCTGGGGTTTTCCCAAAATGTCCAACCGGCCCTTTCTGGGGCAATGTAAAACAAAAGGAAGAGTCCTCATTTCAGCTCTGAGCTTGGTTTCAGGCTTGTGCAAAATGCCTCTTCCTACGAAGGCCAGTGTTTTGTACAGGAATGAACCGTTTTGTATTTTTAGTAGCGATGGGGGTTTCACCATGTTGGCCAGGATGTGCTCGATCTCCCGATCTTGTGATCCACCCACCTCGGCCTCCCAGAGTGCTGGGATTACAGGCGTGAGCCCCTGTGCCCGGCCAACCATTCCGAAGCCTAAGCTTCAGTGGCATTAAGGACATACACATTGCTGGGCAACTCTAAGCAGCATCCATCTCCAGAGCTCTTCTTGCAAAATAGAAACTCTGTGCCCGGTAAACAATAGCTTCCTGTTCCCGCCTCCTGCAGCCCCTGGAAACCACTATTCTACCTTCTGTCTCTTTGAATTTGACTCCTCCAAGTGCCTTATGTAAGTCCCGCAGTATTTTTTCTTTTATGACCGGCTTATTTTGCTTAGCAAGGTGTCCACAAGGTACATCCATGTTGCAGCATGTATCAGAATCTCTTTCCTCTCTAAACTGAATAATCGTCCACTGTGTGACTGTACCACACTTGGCTTATCCATTCCTCTGTCAACGGACGCAGCCCACACTGTTTTTTCTCACGTGTTCATATTTTAACTATTGTGAATAATGCTGCTACGAACATGCCTATGCAAATATCTCTTCAAAACCCTGCTTTCAGGCTGGATGCAGTGGCTCATGCCTGTATTCCCAGCACTTTGGGAGGCTGAGGTGGGCAGATCACCTGAGGTCAGCAGTTCGAGACCAGCCTGGCCAACATGGCGAACTCTGTCTCTACTAAAAATACAAAACTAGCCGGGTGTGGTAGCACACGCCTGTAATCCCTGCTACTTGGGAGGCTGAGGCGGGAGAATTGCTCGAACCCAGGAGGTGGAGGTTGTGGTGAGCTGAGATCGCACCATCACTGCCACTCCAGCCTTGGTGACAGAGCGAGACTCTGTCTCAAAAAAAAAAGTAATAATAATAGTACCCTGCTTTCAATGCTTTTGGGTATGTATCCAAAAGCAGAATTGGTGGCTCACGTGGTGATTCTGTTTGTGACTTTCTAAGGAACCGCCACGCTGCTTTCTGCAGCGGCTGCCGCACCGTTTCACACTCCACCCAACAGTGCGTGAGGGTTCTCGTTTCTCCTTGTCTTCACCAACACTGGCTATTTTCCATTTTGTCAATACCAGTCATCCTAATGGGCGTGAGGTGGTGTGGTGTGCTTTTAAGCCCGTGAAAGCCCTGCGGGGTGAGGAAGAAGGAGCAGTCGCCTTGATGTGGGGTCAGAGGCCCATGTCAGCTGAGCTCCTTGACTCGCTTAGAAGCCCTTTGTCCTCCTGATCACTGCCTAGCAGAGCAGATGGCAGAGCTGTCTGCTGCTCCTCTCTGCACCTCCGTACTCGGGCTGCTGAGGGCTCAGGGAGGAAAATCACATGACTGTGCACACCGGGTGCCTCCCCAGATTCGGGGTCCCCAGATTCGACCTGATTCTCAGTTTTGCCTGGCAGTCGTCCTCGGCGGTCCTGGTTAGTCCCACGATGGCCAGTTCTGATCGCTTGTGTCTGCGTGAAGTCCCGTCTTTCTTGCCCTCAGCAGATGACCTCCTCTCCCAGTCCCCTCAGAAAGTGGGTGCAGTCGTGGGCGGGCTGCACGGCACTCCTCAGTCTCTTCCTTCCTCCGTTTTAGGGCCTGCCCCATCCCTTGAGCTCTGATTGCCTTCCCCTCTCGCCGTCTCAGGTACCTGCTCCGTCAGATACCTCCTCACCCTGGGTCATCACAGTCCAGTCTCATGTCCTCTCCTGACTCCACATCCCTGCCGGCTACCATTGCCTTTCTTTTTCTTTTCTTTTTTCTTTCCTTTTTTGAGATGGAGTCTCGCTCTGTCACCAGGCTGGAGTGCAGTGGCGTGCGCGATCTCAGCTCACTGCAACCTCCGCCTCCCGGGTTCGAGCAATTCTTCTGCCTCGGCCTCCTGAGTAGCTGGGACTACAGGCGCATGCCACCACGCCCAGCTAATTTTTGTATTTTTTAGTAAAGATGGGTCTCACCACGTTGGCCAAGATGGTCTCGATCTCCTGACCTCATGATCCGCCTGCCTTAGCCTCCCAAAGTGCTGGGATTACAGGTGTGAACCCTTCCAGGACTTTGAAAAAATTATTTGAGGTTGCTCTGCTTGTTCTTTAAATGTTGGGTTCTTTGTTTTCTGCTGTTGGCGTTTTGACTCTACTAATTTTATACACTGAGTAGTTTCATCCATTCTCATCTCTTAAATTAATCGCCTTTAACCGGTAACATTCAAAGTCTTGTCTCTAGCCCAGATATCACTCGTGCTCTCGCTCTCACGCTCTCTCTCTCTCTCTCTCTCTCACTCCCGACTCTTATCCAGCTGCTTCCGGGACGTTTTCACGGGGATCCCAAACGTATCTCAGAATCCTGAGTGTCTGTGGAATGATCTATTC